ATGGCACCTTGATAGATTGTGCTAGAACTGCATCTCAGCTGATAGACTAATATTGCTATTAAATGCTATCAGATTGAGTGTTATTCCACAGTATTACTAGGATTAATGACAGATTTTTTTATGCATGAATCAACTACTGTTATATGGGGATAGCAATATTCCTAAGACCACAATTTTGTCATCTGTTGAGTTTTATATGTAGCCTTCAGAATTTGGAAAATGAGGGTTCTTGAAAAGAGACAGTTACCATGACAGTGGCTCTTAAAGCTCCTTCATCCATTTGCCTGCTGCTTATAAACCACAGATTCTAGAAAAATCCCATCTAATTGGAGAGGGACTTTTTACAAGGGCGTGTAGTGATAGGACAAGGGGCAATGGCTTTAAACTGAAAGAGGGGAGATTTAGATTGGATATAAGGAAGAAATTCTTCACTCTGAAGGTGGTGAGGCACTGGAACAGGTTGCCCAGAGAAGTTGTGGCTGCCCCATCCCTGGAAGTGTTCAAGGCCAGCTTGGATGAGGCTTTGAGCAACCTGGTGTAGTGGAGGATTTCTCTGCCCATGGCAGGGGGGTTGGAACTAGATGATCTTTGAGGTCCCTTCCAACCCAAACCATTCTGTGATTCTATAATTCAAACAGCCAGTTCCCTGGTGATATACAAAGGGTGAAGCTCCAGTGGTGACAGAAGGAATGGAGCACTGATGCAGAGACCCAGTGTTGGTTTTTTTTTTCTTGGGCATCCAGCTTTGAAACTATAAGTGCATCGAAAGCATGCTTCCTAAAGCAATAGTTTTAAATATGCATTAAGGAGAGATGTGTCCAGCTTTCAAAACTGTGTCTTTGCCAGGTGTAGGCAGCATCCTTCTTGGAGGAGGGAGCCCAGCGAGCTGTTTTCCACCCCGAGTCAGGCAGTGCAGCGGGCGACAGGCCTGGGCTGGAGAGCCACAGCTATTGCATTATGCCTCTGCTGTTTCTTTTTATTGTAGTATTGTTCCCATCGTGGCTTGCTGACAAGCTGTATGTTTTACACATCAGATCTGCTTGATGAGGAATCCTTGCTTAAAATTGTATCTAGGATAATGCCGGTTTGTAAATCAGACCTTATGGTTCCTATTGGAATGCTAATGATCTCAGAGGGAGGGCTTGGGTTTTGAAAACAAATCTAAGCTAATGCCCAGGGCTCCTGAAAGAGCTGTTAATATCATGAAAATTCATGTTTAAGGCCTCTTTTAAAATGAAAAACTTGTCAGGCACTGCTCAACCAAGGCTGTTTGGAACTGCCGAAATGTGCGGACACACCAAAGCATCCTTTGCAACATCTGGCCAGATCTCTGCTGTTGCTGTACAGCAATTCCAGTGCTGTCAGGAGCCAGGCAAACCAGAACATAATGTGACCCAGCCTGATTTGGGGATATTTGCTGCATAGGTAACTAAGCAAGGCAGTGGGTCCAACACGCTTGGCCTTACCAAGGGAGCAAGAATGACTCTCTTCTTGGTTGCTGCAGCATAGCGAGCTCCCAGAACAGTGCCACCCTCACACATTTTGGAAAAAGTGCTCAAGCAAGTCAAAATACATCCCACGTTTAATAGAACTTTGAACGCTCCACGTTCATTCTACTGGATGTGAGCAGCGAGATGTGTTTTACAAAACCTCTCCGAACTGAGGAAGCAGTACCAAGCCAGGAGACAAACTTGGGAACTGGACATCTCTCTTCCCCGCCAACCTGAGCTAGTTTCTGTTGCTCCTACCAACAGATTTCCACATTAATTAGTAATGTTAGTAGCATAATACAGTAGGCCTTATTCAGCTGTGATCACCGGTGGCATTTTAGCTGCTGCATCATCTCGTCCGGATGAAAATCAACGTAAAGGGTAAAGTGGTTAACACACCAGCAGCTCTGTCGATGCTCTTGCTGGCACTAACTGGCGCTTCTATGGAGGATAATGCTCTTGTAGGTTCAACATAAGCAAGTCTTCAATACCTCCTGAGGAAGAAGGAAGCTAGCCATTTCTGTGTCTCAAAAGGTACTTTGTATTCAGTTATATAAAGTTATCTGTAGCACTCCGCGTAGACCTTTTAGATAGAATCATTCCTGAGGAAAGAGACATTACGTCTGCCAAGTTTCAGGCCAAAGCAAGATTTTATAGCCCGATTGCAAACCCCTGGGACAGGGCTTTATAATGGAAATGCTGACATAGCCTTAACTATTTCGTATGACTCCAGTGGGCATCAGCTTAAATTCAAGTTATGATGTGCATTTAACAGCATGAGATCAAACACAGAGCGTTAACGGGATATTTTGAGATGCTGTATTTGAAAAGAATCTGTATTTAAATGTTATTTGTGAACCATGTCATTTAAACGCTTCTGAAATGTGCCATTCAGTCCTTGGTTGCATGAAAAAAATTCTAATCACATTTCTCAGAATGAACAGTAGCGTAGTTTTCTTCCACAGCTTTAATGCTGAGACACTTCCAAGAAGAGGGTGGTTGTTCTTTTGTTGGAGCCATACTGGAATATTTCTGGAAAGTAAAGGTTTTGATTTTTCACTGTGATGCTTATTTCAGACTTTTGAGGTATATTCTGATTTTACTTGGAGAAGATATTTGAAGACTGTTTCTCTCCGGTTATCAGTTACTTTGCAAGAAGACAACAGTTACTAATATTTTCTGTGTTATGCTAGACAAATCTGCTTTTTCTTGTGCAGTATCTTTCATATATTTCAAGTTAAGTTGATAGCACGGAAGTTCTCTCTCTCTCTCACAACCTAAATCGCTTTTTTTTTTTAATGCTGAGGAAGTAGTTGCTCCAAAATGGAAGTTGACGTTCATCAGTCATGTAGGTTGACAGTAAAACTTGCTTTAATGTGGATGATGACTGGAATTCTCACTGCTCTTAGTGTAAATGGGAATGTAGTGTTGAAAGCGGCCAGTTCTGCTTGTTACTCAGTTGCAGTCTGGAACATAAAGACATATACTTAATCCTAGGAAAAAAGTTTCTCCTTCAATTATTATTTACTGAAGAATAATACTAACTGAAATTATTTCAGTGCAGAAGGCTTGGAAGTTTCAGAGCTAATCCTACTAAGTTTGTGTAATAGTTTTAATCTGTTTTTAACTAATTAGCAATAAACTGTGTGAAGATTTCAAAGCACTTTGATAATATAGAAAATGGGAGCAATCTTTGGAGAAGTGCCAGCCTGCCTAAGGCAAAGAGACTCTGTCACTGGTTTCTGTTAAGCCAGAACTCCACTCCTGCTGCAAGCCCATCCAGCCAGGAACAGGGAACCACAGTACTTTGCTTTCAGAAATTGCAATAGCAGAGTCACAGTGTCGGTCCTGTGGCTTGTGCTGGTTTATCTTTGGGATAAGGTTTATCTTTGGGATAAGGTTTATCTTTGGGAAAATCGGATTTCTCCTGTTGAGTATGCAGGGTGCAGTCTGGAAGAAGGCTTTGGGCTTTCATCCTGCAGTTGACTCATTTGTCCAATTTTTGAGGTACACTGCTATAAAAAAGACTCCCCAGAATACTTTATTTCTCAAATTTTGCAAATCACACTATTTTGTAAGTTTCCTTTATATATGAACACTTTTTCAGGGAGTATGGAAATTATATTATTTTCATCCTTTAAAAAACAAGCGCAAACTGATGATATGTTCTAAATCGCTAATAACCGGAATTCCAGTTAGTTCAGCAGTTGACATAAAATTAAAGTTCTATCTTAATCCTGTGGTAAGGTCTGAATTATTTAATTGCTTCATTCCATTTGGTTTTTTTAGGTATGCTCTTTTCTTTTTTACTTTTGGCAGAGTCAGATGACCTAAAAAGTTACTGCAGTGCTCTTGACTTTACGGGAAAAATTAGTAGTCTAACTTCATGGTATTCAATAATTTTGCATCAGCCTATTGTTTGTTGGACAGGACATAACAAACATTGAGATGCATATCTCAAGAGCTGAGTTCCATAATGAAAAAACCCTACATGTGTGCATTGAATGTACAAGCTGCACTACTTAGGACTTCTGAAATTTGCTAAGAGCTTTTTACAAGTGCAGTCATTTTCACTGGCTTTCCTGCTTTCCGTTTGGATGAGGTATCATCTGTCACCACTCAATCATTTATTTTTTTTAGCTATTAAAAAGGCATGTAATTTTAATTTTTGTGGCCCATTAGTGTGCAAATGCCATTGGGCTTGTTTAGCCTGAACTCATGATCTAAATTCAAATCCCTCTGCTTTTGAGGCGACTGTTGACCACATTTTAGAAGCACAGCTGTCATAATCTAAAAATTGTGATATGAAAATAACTAGAAACAAATATTAAAGCAACTCTACAGGGAGCAGAAATGAGTACACACATTTTCCAAAGCAATACAGTGAACAAAATGTGGAACTACGATAAAATAACATACCGCCTTCAACTGATAAAGTCGAAATCACAATTTGATGACCTCACTGAATGTGGGGACAAGGAAGCCCAAATAACTAGAAAAGTAGAACACATTTAACCATTTCAGTCCTTTGGAGAATATGTAATAATTGAATAGTATCTTTTTATTATTATTATTAATAAACTAATTTATTTAGATATGTGCATTCCTTTTAAAAAAAAGAAAAATAAAAAAGAAACAGCAACAAAAAACTTGAGGGTGGTCTAAAATATCTGTCTTCTGTATGTAACCTTTTGCGTTTTGTGTTTAAGAACTGACATTCCAAGTGATTTTCTTTGGCTTTATGCCTGGACTGAATACTGAGGCAGCAAATTAGGAATGCTTAAGAAGTCCAGTGAAGAAAGATGTTTGCTGTGAAAGTGCAGCTAATGTGACACTCGCACTGGAAGCTTCTTAGCCTGCTGGAATGATAAAAGATGGCACAGGTCTAGGTGGTGTGAGGGGAGCGAATGAAAACTGAAAGCATCACGTGCTGAGCTATACAAGGTGTTTCTCGTGGCCGGTTACCTGCAACTGTGGCTGTGCTGATACTGCCTTTTATTTCTCTTCCAGGGGCTAACTTTGTTACTCGAAAAATTAGCCGATCGGTGGCAAAGATTCACCTTGGACAGCTGGATTGTTTCAGCCTGGGGAATCTGGATGCTAAGAGGGACTGGGGCCATGCCAAGGACTACGTTGAGGTAAGCTGTAGGCCACACGCTGCCTTCTGGGTCGTCTTCGTGGTGAGGATAATGCTTATTGCTGTAACTTCAGGTCATGGTCCACGGAGGGCTATCTCAAGATGTTTTTGCCTATTGAGGCCCGTTAACTTTGTCTTGCTCTTGATTTCGGACTAGGGAATTTAGTAACCCAGCAGTCTACCCCAGGCATGACCTGAACAGAAAAACAAATCTTTGGGTTTATATTCCTTGACTGAATTCCTTGCGGGAGGGGGCTGACTATAAAGTAGATCTATTTTAGAGTATTTCTCCTATTGTTTTGACAAATTTTATGACCAATATTAAGATCGCAGCAAGATGCAATATGACCAGATGTCTAAGATCCTGCTGGAGGTTGGTGGCCTTTATTATAATGGGGCAAGCATAATGTATGTGTGAATGATCAAAGGTCTGGCTGGTTATACGTTAGGAAGAAGCATCACAACATAGTTGAGATGGCGGGTATTGCAACACGTGTGCCTGCATCTAGTGTTTTAAATGTTTTCATAGTCAGGATTTGTTTCTAATTTTATTCTGTGCATCTACTTAAGCAGACAAACAAACAATACCCCTGTATTGTGTTACAAGGAGACATGAATGACCGTGTAGGAAATATTGTCTTTTCCCCAGGAGACTTTTGTCCCCGTTTTGGTGCTTAAAGATTTCCTGTGGTCATTGGACTATTTCTGTCTTGTAATAATTCCTTGCTGGGAAACCGGATTTGGCTTCACCATTCATTGATGTAGTTTAAGAAGATGACGACTGCTTGTTTTGTTTTTCTGTATTACAAAGTAAGAAGTATTTCAGCAGAAAAAAGTCTGATTTGGGACTTTTATCGTAAGTTGAGATTTAAATGGTAAAAATAAAAGCTGAGCTCTCAAGTCTTGTTTATGGTCAAGAAGAAACTGCAAGAAAACAAAATGGTAATACCACAATATAAACTCTTCTTCTGGATGATATTGAAAAAAGTACACAGACATATCACCTTGGCATTGAAAGGGTTACATCAAGTAAGGGAAGAAGGTGACTTTTGGCAGCTGGCTATAAATGAAGTTGGCTTTTGGTTCTGCACTGCGTTTGCATGTAAGGTGGTAAATGCACCATGAATGTCATGACTATGCCTCCATGACTGTTTTTATATTTATGGCTACGACATTAGTTGAAGCAGTTAATCCATTAAACCATCCCAATCATCTTTTGATAGATAAAACTACAGTCAACAGTGTTCATGAAGTCAGTTACCAAGTCTCAACTGAAAGGAAGTAAAAGATAAGCCAAATAAAATGATCAGTTGCGTGAACATAATGAGCATAGTTCCCTAACAGGCATTGGATATTCCATACATGCTTCAGCTGTCTCATTCCAAGACAACTTGCACCAGATTGTAAATCGTGGGATAAATTCTGATGTCTTCTTCCATAAGGGAAATCCAGAATAACCCTCTTGTGCCTAGTGGGTCAGACCCTTGTCTTGTGTTCAAACCGTTAAAAAGGAAATGAGAACAAGTCTATCCAGAAGAATGACTAGCTTTCAAGGCCTTTGGCCTCCAGAAGGAATGTAGTTGTCCGAGGTCTACAGCACGAACACATGTTCGTTGTGTAAGTAGCATTCCAGACCTTTCAGCTACATGTTTTGGGCCTGTCCCAAAATCTTCTGGAAAGAATTGCTCACTAAAATATAGTTCATCCTGAGTATTTCTCTTCCCGGAGAGGTACCCCTTTGGATAATGAGAGAGTTATTATCAATTCTCTAATTCCCTGAATATCGTGGAAATGTGGTTACAGGCAGCCTTCTAATGGCTAAAAAAGAGAGTAACTTTAAACTGGAAATAAACAATTATGTGAGGCTTTAATGGACTGGAAAGTAGGGCTTAGAGATTTAACGTTGTTCAAATAAATACATAGTATGTTAGAAAGCATAATTGTATTTACAAGCATTTGGGGAGCTTCCTTAAGTATATGGCTGAACACATAGGGATATATCTTATCCTCTCCATATGTACTTTTAAATCCCACTGATATTAATACAAGTAACACATGTGCGTATAGACTAGACCATGTACTGTGTTTTCTTTCTCCTTATTTCCTTATTAGGGATAATAATAAAACCATAAATACATTTCTTTTTGTTGCTTTATAAGACGTTATGGGTCAATTCCTGATCTCATGAAAGTCGATGACCAAGCTCCCATTGACTTCGTGGAGAGATCGCATCCTGTGTGTATTGGAGAGGAGAATGTCTGGTGGCTACAAAGCACAAGCAGAAGTCAGGACTCTTGGGCTGTGATCACAGGCATTCATCCAACTGCCCCAGCGATTTGGGCCAAATGCTTCTGTATACAGTGAAGCACGGAGACGTGTGCCTGCGCTGACGCATGCAGGTGCCCACCAAGGGATGGGCTGCCAGCGTGGATTGAGTGCTAGCTGTGGGTTGAGGTCAACTTTGTCAGCAGGTGATTCATGGAATCATAGAATTGGAAAGGGACCTTAAAAGATCATCTAGTTCCAACCCCCCTGCCATGGGGTTTAGAAGCTTGGTGTTTAAACATAGGTTCATATCAGAGGAGAATAGTTGGAATATGTGTTTGATTAGGTTTTAGAGCTGGGACTTGAACTGCCGCCTGCAGGAACTGAAAATCAGGTACAGTGACATTGTGCTGGTGAATGAAAACCAAGAAGTCTAACTCACTAGAAAGAAAGGTTTCCATTCAGTGTTTGAAGAGAACAAATAGAAATAAGTAGCCATCAAAAATTTTTGGAGGGGATTATTAGTTTTATCCTAAAATTACATTAGTAACTCTTAACATTTTTGCAGAAATTGCTGCTGCCTCTTACCCCCCTTTTCTCCATTTTTACTGTACCGTGAACTAGCACAAGTCCCGTGGGAGATGACTATCAATGCCACTGATTTGGAAGAGGAAAAACAATATATCAACACTATTGATATATGAATCTTCTATTTTGTTTTGTGAGGGTAACTTATACCTTTTATTTGTTGCAGAAAGTTCTAGTAAACCACCTGCCAGGCATTTTCAAATATTAGTAGAATAGCAAGCTTTAACAGTCTGACTCATTTCTATTGTAATTTGTAAATTACAAATTGCCATTTGTAAAACACAAGGCATCATGCAAATTTCCTCAGACGCTCACCCAAGAGTCTTATTTCAAGTAAATATAATTCTCAGAAACATTTAACCTAGATCATAAAAAAAATGCCCATCAATTTTAATTTCCTACATCCTAAATACTGTAAATGGAATTTGTGAAGGTGTACCTGCAACTGAAACCTTCAAGTGTTGTTCTTGGCGATGTAATAAACACGTTTATTTGTAAAAACGTGAAGGAAAAGCCAACAAATAGAACATAGTCATGCAGAAAGTGGCTCTGGGAAAAGAGCAAGTTGGCATTAGGATTCAACAGCTGAGGCTTTTCCTTCCTTTCCTTCAGTTTTGTCTTTATCACCTGCTGATACTCAGGTTGGCTTCCGCGGTTGCGTTGCCCACACCTCAGTGTTGTGCAGAGAGCTGTGGAAAAGCCTATCAATATGTATCTTAGAAAAGTAAAAAAGAAAAAAAAAAGCCAAAGGTAACAGTTTTAATAGTCTTTAAGTATTCGTACAGATCAGAAATATTTTCTATTGCCTTCAGTAGAAATCCAGCAGTTTTTGAGCAATAATTACAGAGGACTCATAATTAGGTCATAATTGACTCCAGTTGATCACAGCTCTAGTCAAATGCTGAAAATTAAGCACGTGCCTAAAGTCATGGTGAAATCAGGGACTGTTTGATCTTATAAATATATGGCATTCGGCTTCCATTAATTTATAGTTAAGTAATGTTTGAAAAAAAAGCAAAAAACCTGAGTTTATAAATAAGTAACATAGTAAGTTATTGTACAGTCCAACGAAGCACATTAAGAAACTGTTTAAAGAGAGACTTTCCATCTTTTTTTTTTTTTTTATTTTGGTACTGGTGCTGATTCATACTTTACTTTGCGATTAAATTGCACAAGAAAATACACAGTCTTTTTTTTTTGTCTTAAACTGTTTTACATGTGTTGACATTGAGATAGTAAAACCTAATCTACAATGATGCCTTCTGCTTTTAAATCTCCAGTCAGCATCACCCAGTCTTTTATTCATTATTTTTCTGTTCATCATTGTAATAGGTAGAGACTGACCCTTGGAGACAGCTGCTACCATTTCTGTTGTGGGAAATCCCTCCTTGTATATGTGTATAAAAACTCTTGCCAGACAGAATTATTTAATATTGTGCTTCACTCTTGTGCTCAAGAACAGATTCGGCCAGCGAGACTGTTGGCCAAGGCATTTCTAATTCTGTTTTGTTGTTTTCTTGGAGTGGTAAGGATGTGCTGTCTTTTGAGATACATTTTACCTGAGTCTGGTGAGACTCAACATTTTTTTTCTGATGTGTCTTTTCATCAGCCCAGCAGAATATTTGCTTTTGAGAGTTTTGCTTTGTTGAGGATTTTTGGTTATAAAAGTAAAGCCAGTTATATCTGTCTGTGTCACTATCAATACATCGTATAGTTATGAGACTGGCTTATGAAATTAAAGGCATGCTTTTAAATGAGAGTTGCCCTTTTGTCATGGACTGAAGTAAAAGAGGTTTTTTTCCTTCTTACTGCTTAGTTTTTACACTCAAAGTTAGTCACTTCTAAAAAAAAGTCAAAAAATAGTTTTAAACCCTCAATGCTGCACTTCTCTGAGTATGAGGGTAAAAATTTTTGAGCCATCCAGGTACTCAGGAGTATTTTATGTATTTCCAAACAAGAACTTTTTCTTTCCATCAGCTTGCTTGACCTGGGATAATTATTGGCTCTATTAAGCCGAGTTGATCTTAAAATTACATCTAATCTGTTCCGATTGATGTGACTATCAACTGAACTGTTTATCTTATTGTTGTCAACTAGGTGAAGTAATTGTGAGAGCAGCAGGACTTGAATGAACCTTCAGTAGAAAAG